TTGCTTCATTTTGCTTCTACCGGCCGCCAAAGTTCTCTAATTTTGTAATCATCAATTAAGTACTACATAAATTGGGGCGTTTTGACGTAAGCGTGATCCTTTTTTAATGGGCGAGAGTATTAAACATAACGGTTGCTTTGTTAATAAGTGTTTGTATTTTTGTTATTATCTATACAGATAACTTTTTAAAAATTCTGCTTCTAGCTAATTTTCTACTGAAACTTTTATGCCTCTTGTAAGATTTTCATCAGACTTACAGTTTCTGCGCAAATAATTATTTACGGTATCTTGGAGGCCAATTTATGGGTGCATCGTTGCCCCATCTTTCGAGTCATCCATTAGATATGTTTCATTTATAAATCTCCGAATCTTGAAACTAAAGTGAGGTGGAGTCCCGTCGTGCACAAACCACATTTCGGCACGATGTTGTAAAGAAAAAAATCTTCCAATAAACCAGGTGGTTTGCAAGAAAAGTAAATAGTTCTAAATCTAAATCTCCATTTAGCAATTTGGCATTACAACTGGTCCAATAATAAAATTGTGAATCATACCTGCCCAAACATTAATTTTAAAATCATGCTGGAAATGTTTCTTCCTGTATATGTAATTCCCAATCTAGGAACGTAGCTTTGTCTCACTTAACATGGTCTACAATCCATCTCTACCAATTTTTATTGCTCTGTAAATTCTGTAATTTAAGATATAAATAAATGGGCAAATACAATTTAAAAACACAATATTGTATTTAAAAGAATGTAGTTTGGAATATTATCATAAGAACGCTGACTAATTAATTAATAGCCATAGCTCAAAGTATAAAATAAATGTACCTACCTACAGATTGCCATTGCCACAAATTCAAAATTTAATTAGGTACTTTTTTTAGAAAACTGTATTAATTACCAACGCTTATTAAATGAATTATTGCAATTTCACTTATTATTAAAGAGAAGAAAAGCAAAATTTAACAGCGACATTTTACTGTTTTCAATTGATCGATGAAAATCAAATATTTCTTGTGGGTATAATATTTTATGATTATTATATTGCATTTTCTGCACACCCGGTACAACAAACCAATGAAATTTTGTAGATGGATTTTAGGCCATTTTGAGCGAGAATAGGTCGACATTTTTTTCCTAAAATTTTCGTAAATAGTACTTGTAGTAGAATACAGATAAAAACTGAAAATTGAAAGCACTTGCTTACTAGTTCAATGTGCATTTTGAAAGCCATAAAAAATAAATGTTTGCAATGATGGTGAGTTCAGAGCCCGGGCACACTGTATTTGAACAAAGTTTTATTAGTTATAAACGTTTATGCTTCGCTCCTTTTTCATTATTTCCTTTTTCATATTTACTTGGTTAATCAGAATTCATCCTGATCATCAAAGCGTTATTTTACGAAATACTGAAGGTGTAAATATATACCTTCAATTATTAACTTTTTTGAATTTCTTACTTTTTTAGATTATTTTTTATAAAATTCTTTACAGTCATTATTTGCGATATAATTGTAGGTGAATTTGTCGTACGCCACTGTAATGCGCAAAACACGACGCAGCTGCCAAACTTCCACCGCATACCTTGATTTGTCGTTCGAGTTTCGAGGAAACGTTTGTTCGTGCGGTTACACCTTGTCAAGTTAGGAAATTCACGCGCATTTCCACACGAAAATCGCGGAAAACTTTTACCCAAGTGCATTAAACTTTCTATAAGGCTTCTTCTAGGACTTGTTATCGTTACCGGTGTTGTAAGTGTTGTCTTTACGTGCAATTTAAGCGAGAAAAGGTGTGTTTTGTTGGTAAATAAATGGATTAAGTGCAAAAACAGTTGTTTGGACGCTGGAAAAACAACAGGTAATTAATGCATGTTTGGGTTATATCTGCGACTTTTGCTGTTAAGTGCGAATCATTCCTGTGTGTGTGTTTGACGAGAAAACGGGACTTTTCACTAGTTTTAGAAGTTTGCCTGGCAGAACCTGATTACAGGTAAAAGCCGCGTTTACACCAACGAAAACGTACACGCGGACTTTTAAATGCCCATGCTGGTCAGTTCAGATTTCAGAACCGTCCGATGGTCCCTACTTAATTTTTATTAAGATTTTCTTCACGCATTTCTGGTATACAAGAGTGACACAAAGGAAATTACAAATAGTAGTCGGGTTTTCAAAATAGGTATTTATCCATTGTAGGCGAGGTTTGCTTGACTGGAATTTGTAATGCTGGTATTTCGTCCGTTGCATTTCATTGCTGAACGAACGGAAACTTTGGGGTCTAGTCGATTAATTCGAGAATTTTCATTGTTTTGTAGTCACATTTCGATATACAATTAGCCCAAGTTTAAAACCACAGTATCACACTGATACAGGTGGGTTTCTATTATGTGCAATTTTGATTAATTTGATCGTTTTGTAGTCCTATTCCGATCATATAACTTAATAGCTATTTAAAACTACTTTATATGGCAACTAACTCACTCATATGTTTTTTTGCCCGTCTGTCAATGTGTATTTTGACGAGACTAACGTCTGTATCAAAAATTTACAAAATGATCGAGTGAATCAAATTTCTGCAATAGAGGAGAACTTCAAAAAACCGCAATTTCGCGTTAATATGATTCATTCGGTAATTTTTGTTGTCTAGTGGATACATTTTCTTTCACAATTAGCTCAAAAAAGTCGAAAGCCAATTTTCATATGGATCAACCTAAAACTATCAGTAACATTTTGGGGTTACAGACTAGTCCCGAAAAATATTTGATAGGTATAATTTAAAATAAATAATAATAGTCAGGGATCAGGTGGAAAATGTTGTCCAACTTTAAGATAAAATAAAATTTAGACGCGAAAACACTGAAAATAGTAAAATGGGTAGGGGTTAAGCAGACTTTTTTGCGATTTGTGCCGAAAGACCTCATAGGGGAAAACGTTAAATGCAAAAGATGTAAATAATAAATAAATCTAAACCTCAAATTAAACCGTCAAAATCGCAAAAACGGATTTTTTATACATTTTTTTCTCGCGTATAAATGATTTCATTTACTTACATCAAAATTTGTAAAAGTATGTCTTTTTGGTGTTGATTAACCGTAATTTTTTAGCAGTTCAGGAGACGCAAAACGAAAAAGCTACCCTTATCTTCCATGAACAATTGGCTTGTTCGCTTTTTGTACTTCGAGTGTATATATGGTAATTTAATTGGTTGTAATCCTTGGTTCGTTGCCTGTAATTTTTTCTCAAAAAAATTACGTACATATTTTTTCTTTATTCTTTCTAATATGGATACATAGTAGGCTAATGCCTGCTCATTGTCAACACGTCCTCCCCGGAGGATGAGGTCCAGCATTCTCTCCAGCGCTTTGGTGGTCTTCCCTGCGGTCTCCTTCCCACTGGATTGTTCATTTTTGCGTTTTTAGCGAGTCTGTTGTCCTCCATTCTTTCTACATGTTTGTTCCAGAATCTTCTTCTCCGTCTCACCCATCTTCCTATGTTCTGCATCCCGCATTGCATTCTGATGTCCTCACTTCGTACTCTATCTTCAAGAGTTTTGCCTTGCGTGCTCCCTAAGGTCTTCATTTCAACTGTTTTCATCATTTGTAAAGTTCTGCTTGTATCTGGTCTTGTTTCTGCTGCGTATGTTATTATAGGTGTCACTGCCGTTTTATATATCTTGACTCTGCTTTCCGTGTTGATGTATTTGTTATTCTAAACAATGTCTCTCAAACATGGCTCCATGGCTCGTTATCTCTGCTCCCAAATATTTGAAATGGGTTACTTGTTTGACTATCTTGGAGTTGATTTCCAGCTGATCTATCGGTTCCTTTGATGTTACTAAATATTTAGTCTTCTTGATGTTGATGAGCATATTTAGTTCTTATGCTTTGGTGTTAAAAAAGTGGAGTAATCTTTGGAGATTGTCTTCGTAATCTGCAAATAAGTACTTCCTATTTTGTATCCAGCCGTTCTGAGAACATTTTCTATTATTCCATCCATTATCACATTAAACACGGAGGGGCTGAGTGAGTCTCCCGGTCTAATTCATGTGTTTACGTGTATGTCTTCTGTTGCAATGTGTCCCACTCTGATTTTTGTTCTACATTGGGTGTTTATATCGCGTATTACATTAAGCAGTCTGTGTTTTAGCCCTTTTGTCCTCATTATTTTTAGAGTATCTTTTAAGCACACTCTTTCAAAAGCTTTAGTCATATCGATGAAACACATGTATGCGGGTTTATTGAATTCTAGGAATTTTTCAGATATTTGCTAGACTATGCGTATTACATCTATTGTGGATCTGTTTTTTCGGAAGCCTTGTTGTTCTTCTCTTATTCGTACGGTTTTGGTGATTTGCCCCAGAATAGTCTTATTATCAAGTAGGGTTATTCCACGATGGTTTTCTGCGAGTGCTTTCTGTCCCTTTTCAAAAATGAGTTTTGTTATACAGTTCTTCCATTCGCTTAGTAGTTCTATATTTTTCAAATAGGGTCAGTATTTCATTTTCATTCCTTCCTCTTTCCGATTCCTAAAGTGCGTTTCCCACTGTTCTGTCGTAATTTTATTGGTTCGTATGGTATCTTTTATTTTTAGCTTATTTCTTCTCAGCATTATCTGGCTTCCATATAGGTCTCTTTTAGTTCCTTTATTTTTACATTTGCCTAGTTTCTTTCTCTTCGATAGTTGGTCCAGTTTTCATGTTTTTGATTTCGCGTATATTTGATGTATGCATTCTTCCTTCGTTTAGCTAGTTATTTCAGTTCCGGTGTGAACCATGGTGTTCTGATGATTGCATTGATTACTTGTCGCTTTCCTATAGCTTCCATGGCCTCTTCTAGTATGTTATTTTTTATTGTTTTCAATTAGTGGTCTATGCTCACTTCGGTATTCACTGATCATTGCAGTATTTTATGGTTTAATCGATCTTCATACAGATGTTTTGTACTGTCATTCTAATGATTCGCCATTGAATTTGCTAATTATTTGCTGTTTAGGTTTGGTGGATTGATGTTCAGTCTCATTTTGCAAAGTACCATCTTATGATCACTTCCAGAGTTGGGGCCATTATCTTAAGTCCAATATTGTTTGGGGTACGAACTCTCTGTTTGTGATAATATAGTCTAATACCGACTGTTGTCCTCTTGTATTTTGCCATGTGAATTTGTATTTCACCTTATGTTCGATGAAATTGTTGTTGTTTGCGCATAATATTTTCAGTAGATCTCCATCTTCGTTTGTGGTTCTTTCATTAAATCTCTGCATTATGCCATCCAGTGGTTCATTTCCTATTCTTGCATTTTGGTCACTCATAAGGATATTATCTCGTGCTCTCCTTATTTGTCCATTACTGTTTGAAGTTCTTCATAGAATCTTTCTCTCTCCTGTCTCTCCTTACTTATCTCTGGTGCATAAACGCTTAAGAAGTGCGTTTTCCCATAGTTACTACTTTTTGTTGTTCTATGATGTTCCAGTTGGCCACTCTGAGTTTATTCCGTTTCCAAATCTTCCTCCATTTTCTTGCCTTTGCCGTCATGTTTTCATCAATCAAGTTCCGAGGCTGGCTTGTGGTTTTGTGGGCTGTATTGGCCTTTTTTTACCACAGGTACTAACCTGACCTGTGAACCCTCCACACTTTATCCGGGCTTGGCAGTAGCAGTTAGGCTACAGCCGGAGTTACATGTGTACATATTTGCGCTTACCTATTAAATCGATTGGTTTAGCACATTTTGATTGCTTTTTAGACTAATCCTAAAGAATAGAATAAATTCTATATTAAAGTAAATATTAAGTTCACGACAAAACCCAAAAGTTTGTGGACTTTTTTCCTGCTTTTTGGTGTGTTCTCTCCGGTGTTTCTTGGGAACACGCGGTTTATCACCACTTTTCACTCATTGAAGCTTGCACCTTTTCCATAAGAAAGCAGGCCTCGCCATTTTACTTTGAAGTCCTAACATCTCTCACCATGCCGATGCTGCACGTACAAAAATTAATACCTTATTAGCATGTTGTCAAATTCATGTTTTGGGGGAAATAACTGCGTAACATTATTTAAAAAAAGCCAATAACTTCCAACCCCATCCAAACGAAGGAAAACAGAAAACATTTACCGAAACTAATCAAAATTCACCCAAATTAGTATCTACAACTTTAAGAAAAATCAATTAGTCGGTCCCAAGTTTTTTGGCAGTGACGTCATTTTACTGCAAAACTTTTTTTCGTTTAATTAGGTGTTTTAAAGCGTGCTGAGCTTTTTCGGCTTTTTGTCTGTCGAGGATAACATTTTTTCAAGCAATTTTTCAAAACGAAGTTTCAAGCAATGACAGCAAAAGCTCTTGATTATGAATTAAAATTTGTTATTTTCCCATACAGTTGCTCGGTAAGTCAATGGATGTATTTTGCAATATTAACGGAAAATAGTTATTCTTAACGTAGTTAGATCGGATATTTTTGCAAATTATTGGAAGAATCTATAGTTTCAGCGAATGTATTAACAAAAGTTCCCGTATATCGTCCATTAATGTACAGCTTTTGCTTGAA